ATGTAGCTTGTACCAAGGGCTCACTCCGTCCTCTCCTTCCTCAATGTTCAAAAGATGGCTGACGCATTCTACTGCATAGCTCCAGAAACATGGTGGTAATCCCGCTTCCAAGAGGCAAGTTGCGGTTGTCATCATAATGAACTGATTGTTCCTCTCCGCCAGAGAATTGTTCTGAGGATGATTCGGTAGAGAATGATCGAATGGGATCTTCAGCTGCTTCATAGCCGTCTCAAACTCTGGGGCTTTGTCGGCATAAGCAATCTTGATCTTCTTCAATCCTTTGAAGTGGTTTATTGCATTGACCACGTCCTTGGCAAACCTCTCTTTCGACGGATAGGCCCATATGACGCCTGTGTACCTGTCACGAATGACGAAGATCTCTCGATCAGTACTGATCCCTTGATCAAGGATGTTCCTCGTATCGACAAAATCAAGGGTAACCAGATCCCCAAAAGCTTTGAGCTTTCTCTTGAACGCTCCTCGATGCGTCTTGAAGTGTTTCATCTTTGCTCTGATGCATGACTCACAGTAGGGATTCTTGTAACGGTGTGTGAGTAGATGTTCGATTTTCCTGGCATCTGCTTTCAGAGTTCCTCTTCTCACCATTCTGCTTGCACCGTCAACAATATCCACCTCGATGTCATCTGCATCATCATCGTCAGCTTCTGGTTCACTGTCTCCGGCGACATCTGATCCTACCTCATCTTCTTCTCCAGGAGATGCCTTGAACTTCTTATTCCTCTTTCGTCTTTTGACTTTTGGAGGCTCAATCACAGGGAGGTCGTCATCATCACACATGACGCCTTGAGGATCCACATCACAGTTGATGAAAGCCGATTGGTAATCAGCTTCACCTTCTCCTAGGGTGAACCTTGCGATCATCTCCGCCCTTACATCGTCGGTGGGGTTACAGAAGTCACTGCCCTTGACAATATATGGGATGTTTCCCTCTACTTCTAACATGATTTTCTTGTAGTTCGGGGAAACCATGTACGGGTTGCCGCAGGCTGGCCATATGAATGTGTAACCTTCCTCCATGCATTTCTTTCCAACAGACAGTACTGAAGGAGACTCATCTAAGACGAATGGGGAGTAGGTAGAGTCAAATTCGTCGAAATGAATGTCGGCGACTCCCTTTGTGGATGTCACTCCATTTGCGGTATAGAATGACATTGATTGGTCGCTTTCTCTCACTTCCAGACCTAATTTCTTGGCTCTGCCTTTCGATATCAAATCATACCCACATCCTGTGTCCATGATGAACTTTGTTCTTGACCCTTTGGCTGGAATAGACAATGTCTTTGTGTCTGCATGATCTTTCTTTCCCTCGCATACATGAGGAATGACTTTATGATGGAAAACTAGGCCGTCATCTTCGTCAAAAGACATAGTGACCGCTAGGTCACCCTTTGGTCCAACTGGTATTCGGACCCTCTTGATCTCAGTGTAGGGGACCATCAATATGCCTCTTGCCTCTGCGACCTTTTCTTCAAATCTGATTTGTTCTTTCCTCGTGTAGCAGGTGAGCTCTTTCTCATCGTATCGTTTGATGTCTGGACGTAGAGGTTTCCTTTCTACTACCTTCCATTTGTTCCTGACTGAGTAGATCGCTTCGTTCAACATGATCTCACAAGTCTCTTCATCAAAGGATACTTTTGCACCTCCTTCTCTTGCCTTGGCGGATGCAGCAATCCCTTCATCTTCGGATTCGTCCATGAAGAGTTCACCGTCAATGGCTGGGACTCCAGGCTTTGCTTTAGGCTTCGGTTTGGGTTTTGCCTTGGGCTTTGGCCTATCGTCTCCTGAGTCAGCTGGTGCAGATATCCCTTTCTTAGGAGAGGCTTTTGGGTCATGGTAGAACTTGCAATCCTTCCCTTTGTCACAAGTTCCTCGAATCCACATCCAACATACTGGCTTGTCATTCTTTCCGACAGAAGATCCTCTGGATGGTGATCTGGGTTTCTTGTGACTGAATGGGCAATCTTTCCCCATAGTGCAGTTACCTTTCACGAAGTATTTGCATGGTATCTTCTTCTTGTCTGTACTCGGACTTCGGCTGCGATCCTTTCCATCACCTTTACCTTTCCCCTTTCCCTTTTTGTTCTTGTCTTCAGGATGCTTCTTGGGATTGGGTTTCGGCTTCACTGCAGCAGCGTCTTCTGAGACAACCTGTTCTTGTTGCCCTTTTGGTTTCTTCTTCGGATCAGCTGGTGCAGCTTTCAGTTTTGGAGCAGGTCCGCCTGGTTTGAGATTCTGAAAGATATTGGCCACATTCTTCACTGCCTTCTCCTTTTCCAGGATCATCCTGTCTTCAGTTTGCCGTTCGATGTGCCTTCTGATCATATCACGTAGATGTTTGTATGTCTTCTTGGCATCATCGTCGTTCATGCTGTTGTAGGCGCTGATGTCGTATGCCATGAGGTTTGAGTTCCTGATCTTTCTCCATAGGAGATCCCGAAGAGTTTCGTCGCTCGGGACGTCAACGGGCTTCATTCCTGCCAGAATCTCATCCCAAGTGTGGAAGAACAACGATAAGTTCTTGTCTCCTTGATATTCTAGTTGGTAGAGGTGCATTGAAGTATATAAGACTTCCACATTTGATGTTGTCTTGAAATTCATAAGGATCAGGGCTAGGACCTCTCTTCCCTTTATGAGGCTTGATGTTCTCCCTTTTGCATTGATCCTCGTCCTCAACTTCATAGCTACACCTGAACCATCATCTTTCGCATCCATGACGACCTTGGTAAGAGCTAGGCCGAGTTTGGCGTCGATTGAATGGAATCTTTGGTCTCCTGAGTCGACAAACTTGTCCGGATCAGGATCGTCCATGGCTTCTTTGATCCAGTCGATCCAGGGCTCTTGATCTGAATCATTGGCCGCAATGATGATCGATTGAATGAGATTTGCCTTCCATAGTCCAAGATCATTGATCCTGGGCCATGACGGAACGTTTATCTTTGATTCTTCCTTCCTCGATACTTTCATGATTGTAGAGGTTGCCGGTGCAAGATGAGATGAAGAGGATGCTTCTGCTTCTGAAATCTTGTCCCTCAATGATTTGTTCGCCTCGGATAGCTCAATTGATTTCTCCCTTTCCTCGGCGTACTCATTGTGGGTTTCGGCATACCATTCATACATCTCATCTCGGCTCTCTGTCATTTCATTGTACCCGTCCTTGTAGTGCTTCGCCTCCTCTTTTGCGTTCCGAATCTCATCTTCCTCGGACGCGTGGGTTGGTAACCCGCGGTCTCTGGAACTAGGACGCTTGCTGTACCGAGAGACTATGGGTGCCATTCGTGCTTCTGCTTTTAATTTCGCATTTTCCATAATGACATTCTTTGTCTCCTTCTGGCTTTCCAATAGTGCATTCTCCAGTTCTCTGATCTTCTGTTGAATTTCAGCACCATCATCGCCGAACATAGGAGCTCTCATCATATTCTCTCTTTTCAGCTGTGCGTTGGCTTCGGATAGAGCGAGGTTGGCGTCTTTCAACTGTTGTCGTTCACGGATGGAACCTTCTAGGACTTCGTTATTGAATATTTCTCCTTTTGCGATAACCTCCTTTGCGACGTTTGCTTCGTATTCATGGTGGCTCGCCTTCATTTCTGCCATTTCTTTAGCAGAGACTTCAGTCTGGCATACAAATATCTCCATCCTCATGCCTCTATCTCCGCTCTCGCGTTGAGTTCAGCTCCACGTGCCATAGCTAGTTGACCTCGTAGATGATCAATAACCATAGCTTCCTGATTGCTCTGATCTTGAGATGAGTGAACACTGTGTTGAAGACGTCTTTCCCTGACCTCACTGTTCCATTGTTCTTCTCTCTGGTGTTGGATCACCTCGTGCATGTTGACATTCTCATCCTGTAGCGCAATCATTCTAGCTTGTATCTGGTCAGCTATTCCGACGAAGGCTGTGTTCTCATCCTGAATGGCTTTTGATCTTCTATTGATCGCCAATGAAGATTCATTCTGTTCTTGGATGTGTCCAATTGCTGCTTGAAGCTCTTGGGACATTCTGTCCTTCGTTGCTTTCACAGATTCAAGCTCTGAATGTTCTTGATGAGTTTCTTGCGCAAGTTCTTGATATCTCATGTAGATATGTTCAGCTGTCGATTCCGCCAAGCGTAGCTTGTGTTCGAGCTCTTCAATTCTTATTGTCGCTCCTTCATCTTCCTGTGTCATCTCTTGTAGATGTTCCTGCATCTTCCTGTTGTAGTCAGACATTTGCCTGAACTCCACTTCAGCCTCGTGGTGTAGTCGTGAGTATCCGGCTTGGATGCATTCATATTCTTCATGAAGAAAATTGTATGCGTTTCTCGCCGATCTCAATTCTTCACCCAGCTGAGTCTCTCTTCTTTGCTCTTTTGTTCCTCTATCATCGTCACGTCTCTTCTCTATACTCCTTCTTGGGGATCTCGCGGTAGACGTTATAGGCGATGTAGATCTTGTTGTAGCTCTCATCGATCTTCTTGGTCCTACGGGTGCAAGATCGGTCAGATTCCGAGCCGGTGGCACGGATCTTTCCGAGATTTGTGATCCAGTAGGCATAGTGATAACGTCAGCATTTGCTGATGAATCAGTACCCATTGTAGAGTCTGGTGACGAAATGGTGTTGGGACCACCAGGAGCAGCGAATGAATAGGGTTCGCTTCTATTTCCTCCTGAGCTTGACATTGCAGGTTTCTGTAATGACTAGTCTTGTTCTTGGTCTCGTGTAGCTCGTACGGCTATAAAGAGCGCGTACGGCTGATAACCTGCGAGTGGATCTTAATCAGCGAAGTTTGAAGCTATCACTGACGATCCATAAGCGGCGTAGCGTCGGAACGGAAACCGCACCTTTTCTAGTCGCTTGATCCTTGAGCCAAAGTACATATGGTACATATATATGTACAAGTTGCACTGTACGTGTCGCTGCACTTCCATTCGCACATTATGAACAAATACATACAGCATCATTCTCCACCCTGTGGCCCTAGTGTTAGGTCCATGCCAAGACACAAAGCATTTGGAAATACCCGAAGCCGGGGAAGGCTTTGCCACCCTCAGAGAATCACAGAGCTTTGAGCTTTGCGTTCCAATTTGCGCTCGTTCATAAAATGCTCTGGAGAAAAGCCGAAGAAGTATCACGTATCCAATCGATTTACCTGAAGGGTTTTTCAAGTTCAATGAGCGTCATGTCCCAAGCCATCTAAGTGGCATTCATCATGCGCAGCCAGAAGGGGGTCACGCTCGCCAAATCGAGCCAAAACCTCAGCCGTCACATCGTTGAGATTCGGACACAGAAAAGGTCATTGGCAAAAGCAAAATAGAAAAGGCAAAACAATCAATGAATACGGTGCATGAATGAATCTGAACCTGTTTAATCTTCAGGACAAAGCATTATAGACTTGAAAATAGACTTGTTTTGTAGAGTGATTATAGTAGTCATTCTACAGCATGTGACGGTTAACAGTTCTTGCATCAACTATATATCCTGACTCGATGCCAAGGGACCATCCAAAACCTCCATTTAAGCCGGTGTAGCGCATTACAATCTCCCGAGGGTCTTTCTGCCACGCACCCTGCGACCTGAGGACAACGGCAAGGCAACACGGCGAGACCGGTCGAAGGGCCCGGGGATCCACACAAGTCGTTGGCTGGATTCGAATAAGCAATGAAAAACTGCAGGACCATATCCTTGGGATGTCTCTGTGCCAGTTTCGACCGGATTCAGCACATCGAAATACTGTAGATCATTGCTCATCATGCTATCTAATCTTGTGCAGTGCAGCCTTACTGATCGACTGACAGCCTGAAAGGGCACTTTCGATGTTTCATGCTACTTCATTGCCATGCATCCGCCGAAAACCAGAGGCTCATGATCGTTTCCAGCATCCTGCCGCAACTGAATGTCAACAGCATGTCAACAAGTCAAGATTGAATCAAAGTCCTGTCTCTAAACATTTGCAACAGTTCTTGTTCCAAGTTCAGTCCATGCAGGGAACCTGGTCCAAGTAAACCCTTCGAAATCCCTTGAAAGCGTGCAGGTATGATCAGGCAGTGGTCCAGGATGGTCCAGGGTATCGGATCCATCAAGATTCCAACAGGTGAGGTGCCAATGCCCTTTGCTCCTAATAATCCTAATAGCTTCTTGCTCCTAGTAGTATGGCCAGGAGCCCCTAGTAGCGTCCTTGCTCCTACCATTGAATATTCATGCTTTGGCTCCTGTGGAATTGTGGCAGCTCATCCCAGGTGAAGAACACCTCACGAGCGTTCCGTCTGCGGAGATGTCCCCCGAAATCACGAGCGTTCCGTCCATATGCGCCGTCCAAGGCGCCAGGACCCATGGAAGATAGTACCTGAGTCGACTGCGATTCGCACAAAGGTCGAAAAAGAAGGACTGACTTACCTGCGGGGCGACCAACCTCGCACCGACCAATTTTCAGGATTCCAACCGAGAAAATGCCGAGCATGGTTTTCCAAAATCATCCAGAGTAGTTGCACAAGAGTTTGGGGCCTGTGCTTGATGGCATGTACTTACTTTAGTGCTGGCAGTCATCAACAAGACCAGTATGCCATGTGGGAGTGGTCTGCCCTGAGCAAGCCTCAGTTCTTCCCTGTCCTTTTCATAGATCGCGGGACTGGAGTGCTTCTGGAAAGTGAAAATGTTGATCTGCCAGGTGTCTTCTCATCCAAGCAATGGAGCAATGGGGCCAATCCCGACAAGCAAAGGTAAAGGTCGATCGCAAATTAGATGAAGGCAAAAGGGTATTTGATTTCAAGTAGAAGGGGACGCTTTCGCCCTGAGTGTCTGCACATCCATCACTTCTGACTGTGGCACTCGGTGCACATCCCAGCTACGCAATGAAGAAGATCATAAGCGTGAAGCTTAGATCCCACACCTACATCAACACTCAGGCCCATGGAAAGAAGCACAAGGGTGGCTGGATGTGGCTGGTGTTGCAAAGACTGAGAAGCTCTCTTGATCTCGAAAAAAATAAGCAAATGATAGTATACGTATGACATATATATATATATCAATATACTGTACTATATAGCAAACTATGACCATTTGACAACTTTTACATTGAGTGACTTTTGCGTCTACAAGGAATGACCAAGCCCTTTGATGCCATGCAGTGAACTTGAGGAGTCGAATCTTGGTACAAACGCCTACCACTCCAGGAGACATGCAATCAAACCTTTGCAGATCTTTACTGAAATCCTTCCAATCTTTAGCGATGCTTCGTTTGGAGATACCCAACAAAAAAAAATGACCATCTTCAGAGTCAATCCTTTGCGTTGCATCTTTCTCTCCCTCTCTGCACCTCCACCCAATGAACGAAGCCCTTGGCCTCAGAAAAGTCACGTTGAACCTCTTCCCGAAGTCATTCGATCCAATCTTACATAGGTCTTTTCCAGAAAAACATCGAGAAAAAGACAGAACTAGGACCCAAATCATTCAGGCTCAGGTTTCTTCAAGGAAGCCCCCCCACCCTCAAGCTGGGGGAGCTCCCTTGAAGAAGCCTGAGCCGCAGCCTGCGGCTTCCCCCCCCCAACACCGTCCTTAAATTACACCAGCATAGACTTAAGACCGTCTACCCTAAACAGTTTCAGCAGGAGTCTTGATTGTTGTGTCGATTCCTTCCTGAGAAAATCCAAGGATGATATCAAACTTGCAACGCTGCATCACTGTCGCATAGCCACAAGAAAACCCACTGGACAGCGGTGGAGAATGGGAAAACAGCATGGCCAAGCAGGGGACAAGGCTGGGACAAGGCATAAGAGGGCCGACCACGCCGACACACAGACCTGAGCAAGACACACAGGCCTGGACAAAGCTTTGAAAAGGTGGATAAGACAGGGCCCGCGGCGCACACAAGCACAGACAGATTCACCCGAAGAAAGCCAATGCAGTGAAGAAAGAGCGCGCGGCCAGACACAGGCTTTGCCAGAGCACAGCGCCAGGACACGAGGAGGACAGGTTCGCCAGTGTGGCCAGAGGGCAGGAGGACAGGACTTTGTTGGATGACAAAAAGAGAACAAAAGGAGTACACTGTCTGGGGACAAAAAGGTCTGCCATCAGCTAACCGCCACAAACACTGGTCAGCAGTTCCGATCGCGATATCACTACCACCGGTCGATCGGTGCCCCAAACGTGCCGGGCCTTCTTGGATTCGCTGAGCTCGGGGACGATCACCCAAGAGCGGCATAGCTTGTGCCACTCGTGGCGCAACGCCTGTGGCTGCGACTCCTTCTCGTAGTCGTTGTCTTCATCGTCCAGACTGCGGAGAAACTCCATAACCGTGCAAAGCTAAACTCTGGATCTGCAAAAACGAAGTACTATTACTAATTCGTACTTCAATTCACGTCATAAGTACATGAGCTTACCAGCTGCAGCTACTCTGCTTTTGGAAACCTTCGTGACATCAACTGGAATCCCTGTCGGATCCTGTTGGACGCGATGTTGAAGTTGCAGTTGAAGCTCCGTTGCTTCATAATCCCACGTGAGAAGTTCGCAAACTTGGTCTTCTTTATCCTTCCATCCTTAAATGTGGCTGGGCGCTGAACTGAAGTTCAAATCTTTAGAAATCCATCTATCATACGCACTGTAATTTGTGACTTGCAAGAACATGATGGGGCATGTGCCTTCGTCCAATTCCTCTCATATGCTAACTCTCAATTTAGCATAGCATCTCCATCCCAGTGGTGCTCGCTAGAACCTGCTGAGGCATGGTCTCCGTCGAAGTCAAAGCTCACCTGTGTCGGAGTCAAAGGTTCAGTGTGGGCAGTGAGGAAGCTTGATATCAAATTCAAGTCGCCCAAGCAAAATGATCAATGATATATAATAGCATACAAACACTTGTGTAGATTTAAGTTCCGTCAAACAATTGCATGTCTGAATTGGAAGGGTTGAAGCACAATCTGGTTCAGGGAACACCTGAAGGCGCTAAGCCTTACATGCAAGGACCGACACATACAATCATACAGCAGGTTCTAGCATCTGCTGTTGCCACAAACAGCTTGGACAATGATGATTTCGCGACCAGTCGAGGAAGCAAGACCGACCCAGTCATTGCGTTTCCTTGATTTTCCTGGAGTAAAGTAACCTTCGGGATTCCAAACAAAAACATGCGCAGACGTGCCATCAAGCAGCGCAGTCTCTTGGCAAAATAAGAGCGATGATTGAACCGCTGGCGAATGAGATGTTCAACTCTGTTCAACTCGAATTGAAAAACCAAGGTTCATCTAATCATCTCTGCAGGATTCCAAAGGATCCCAACGACCTCTTAGAACTGAAGAGAGAAATTCGATTCGGTGGTTTTTTCAGTGCGGTCCTAACCGGAACAAATATCGACAGACCTTCCGTTGGATTGATGGATTGATCCTCCGTTTTCACTCCCCATTGGCTCACCTTTGCAGCAGTAACAGAAGGTGGTTCAACGCCATGGCAATCAGGATCCTCAAGGCTCGGAGGCTCGGTCGTTCGGAAGGACCATAAGGCCCAGAACCTATATAATAGCAATGGCCTCCAGCCTAGTAGCGATGGCCTCCAACCTAGTAGCGATGGC